TCAAAACCTGGCTGTTCCAACAGGCGTGGGGCTAAAGAGCTGTTGCCCCCGTCTCGAATGGTATGACTGTTGTGAGTTTTAAATTATATACTGTTATGTTTGTTTTTTAAATTTTTTTTTTGTATCCCCCTTCCCCGGTTCGAGTTGTGAGCCGCCCTGAGTCCCCCTTCGGGGGAAAAGGACAGCATACAAATACAATAAACTGAACTGAACTGAACCTGAAAAAGAGTTCTCTGTGTGCCACCTCTGGCACACACTCCATAGGTTCGCCATCACGGCTGTAGGTGATAGCAAGAGAGAAGTGCTTTCTTTGGAGTAGTACCTCATGTTTGAACTCCTAACTTAGAGATAAAAATCTGACCAACATCTATCTAGAAAATTAAAGGTCTATGGAATGCACGAGCCTTGCAAATGACCTAAAAAATTATTGACAACATGAAATGTTTAATGGGAAAGAGGGGGAAACTTGTTAAACATCCCACTAAATACCCATCACAACCTCTGTACATTTAACTTTAATATGAGATCAAATCAAATCTAACTTCTATTCTGGTCATAATCACAATTTTGGGAGCTGCAGATCCAAAGAACTGAAATGAGAAAGTACAAAGACAAGTGCTGTTCTGATTGGTTTTGTTATTGTTGTTTTTCCCTTCAAGGCAATCCTAGGCAATTGGGTTTATCTTACGGATAAGAAAGTTCATATCTTTTGTACCATGATTTCACTTTTAATTTTGGGAAATGGTGATAGTTCAAGGCATCAAATTTCAGAAAGAAGTGAATCATAATAATCATAAATATATGTAACAATGCCCTGACCCAAAACTTATTTTTAAAAAGCCAGGGAAACTGAATTATCACTGAAAAATCACATTTCACCTCACCACCTTGCTTGGGTTAGACAACTTGTGAAGATTCATTAAAAACTCATTAGTTAGGTTACACAGGCAAACTTGCCCTTGAAGATAATGTTACATCCAGAAAAGCTGCCAAGGTTGCAAGAAAATTGCCACCTGCATAAAGAAAATGTAATGCTGCACACAATAGACGCTATAAAAGATTCATAGCAGAACCAGCTAGGAGAATTGGATTCTAATGAACCTGTGTTTACTTGAAAGGATTACCATGCTACACTGAGGCCAAGTATCATGCGGTGGCCACAAAACAGTACACACAAAGTCATTCCTTTAGGGATGGATATGAATGAAAGGATCTGAGGCATCAGGAATAGGTCCTGCTCAGCTGCCAGAGAGTCTGTGGGATGTGGCAGTCTGCCTGGAGAACACGCAGTGCCAAGAACTCCCAAAACAGCAACCAGGCAGTCTGATCTCAAGATTTTGAATTCTGCCAAACAGGATTGCCTTACTAGACTTTTTTGCTATTTAATGTCACAAGAGCCCAAAACAACCTGACTTCAGCAAATTCCCTACGAAAGCCCCAGGTCCACCATGGGATTGACTTCTAATTTATTCGGGCTCGGTTACTTCATGCAAGTGCGTCTTCAGATTCTTATCTGCTGAATCCCGCCGTGTTTCGATAATTATATACCAATTTACCGGCATCTCTTGAGATAACATTTCTCTTGAAGTGATGGGTGAAAATGGGGCTATATTATATAGGCATACAGTAATATTACATGGCTGTACTTGCATAGTGGTTAGAATGCAGTATTGCAGGGTAACTCCACCCACTGCCAGCAGGTCGATTCTCACCAGCTCAAGGTTGTCTCAGCCTTCCATCCTTCTGAGGTCAGTAAAATGAGGATCCCGATTGTTGGGGGGCAATAGGCTGACTTTGTAAACTGCTTAGAGAGGGCTGTAAAGCACAGTGAAGCAGTACATAAGTCTAAGTGCTATTACTATGTCTTTTGCAGCTCAATACACTTTCTCACGGTAATGGTTTATACAGTTTAGAAACCACAATAATAAACATTTATGTACTACTCCATCATCAACTGATACCAGAACTAACTGAAGAGTAAACAAAAAAAAAAACCCAATAGATCCGTGATAGCAAACCTATGCCACATGTGCCCGGAGTGGCATGAGGAGCCATGTCACTTGGCACACTTAGCATCACCCATTCCTCTTCTGAGTTTCTGGCGCACATGCACATACGATGATCAGCTAGCCTCTGTGCGTGTGGCAGTGCTGGAACCCAGAAGAGCTGGTCTTCTGTTTTCTTTTGTGGGCATGCGCCCCAGCCAGCTGATTGGTGTGTGTAGGCTTGCTGGNGTAGATTCCTCTAAACAATTCAGTTTTTAAAAACTTATGGAAAACCAAGAACAGGGAGGCAAAGTTAATTTCCACCACCAATTCAGATAAATAAACGATAAATATATGAACTCAGTTACCACAGGACTTTAAAATATTTTAAATAATATTACATAAAAGAAAACTACAAAACAATTTTTTTCTTTAAACATATTCTCCTACAGATTTCTGTAAATAGAAGTTTAACAAAATTCTCAATTTATATTGCATAGGCTTAGAACTTTTCTGTCTTCCTGGTTGGAAATTCTCTGAGCTATTGTCACAATATTGTGGACAGGTGGAGAAATCTGATACAATAAATGGAGGCTTGTAAATCAAGGTCCATCCCAGATTGTTTTCAGCTTTTGAAAGTATATAGGGGAGACTTCTACATACAAATACATATAATCTCTCCCAAATATACTGTACATCTAAGAAAACAAGAACAGTGATACACTCAGATCTTACATTCTTAACCATCATGTTTTTGCTTTTTAAAATTAACTACTTGTAAGATTTCAATTTACTTTATTTAACCAATTCAGAATGTAAAAGGCATGAACTACAGTTTAATTCCCCTCCCTTTTTTAGGAAATAGGAATTCTAAAAGCATCCATTTTAAAAATCCTTTATAAATATATAATAACAATTACAACAATCTATAAATAAGTATAACAAAAACTTCAGCAGGTGTTTATTTTCAGTTCTGACACCTGAAATTCTTTTTGCTTTTTTCTGATCTCATAGATGGAATTATTTGGCTGATCCCACATGAGATTCCTGGGATGTCTAGTTGATCCGGTGTCTAAAGTAAAATGGAGGGAGAAAGAACATAATTTAAAATATTGCATCTTCACCACCATATCTCTAGTTCTTATCTCTAGACAAAGACTTGTTATATCTAGCAAGTCCACTTGGAGAATTTGGCTTAATATTTTATCTCTATTCATATTATCTCTAAACAACCACTTGCTTTTATGATTTTTTTGCCAATCCTTTTGAACAGAAAGAGTAGTAGTCTGGAAGATATATCACTGTTTTTATTTTAAAATACTTTTTCAGGGACTGGTGTGTTGTAGGCATTGCTGACTGCTTGTGATTGCCTGGACTAGTCCCTGCATTTTTCTTGGTACAATTTCAGAAGTGGTTTGCCATTGCCTGCTTCCTAGGGCTGACAGGGACTAACTGGCACATGATCACCCAGATGGCTTTATGCCTAAGGCAAGACTTTGAAATCCTCCAAAGTCAAGTTTAATAACTTAATCATGGCACAAAACTGGCTTTCACTAAAGCACAGGAAATCCTCATCCAATGATGATAATTTGGAACTGGCTATTTGATAATTAGACAAAGTGATTGCTAAGTAAGATAATGAACTATGCATAACTTCTTACTTCAGCTTGCTTTTGCTTAATCCCAATCCCTTATTTAAAAGAAAGAGGAAAGAATTAATAAGCTCAAAGGCTGTTCACTGTCATGACTTTTACCCATGGCTCTACTTTTTGAACACAGTATGGGAGGAAGGGAAAAAATGCAGGGGAGTTAAATATTGAATTGTTATTGCTTGCAATATTCATTCCTCCCCAACTCTCCCTCTCATCATACATTTAAACAGTTTTTCCATATATTTGAAATATTCAGTGGCCTGAAAAATCTCCTTGACAAGAGAGGACAAAAAAAAATGGTTTCTGCTTCACAATCTTATTCAAATGTCAATATTCAACAATGTAAGTTAACTAATTTAAGATTTAGAGAAACTCTGTTGTGTTATCTTTCTTTCTCAATACTTTTTACTTTTTACTTTTTAAAGAATGGAGGAAAGCTAGTAACTCCTCAAAAGTTTCTACTCTGAAGAAAATGAAGCATAAAAGCCATAATTTTAGTAGACTAAATCTATTAATTATGGGGAAAAATAAAACTTCAGAAGGAGATGATAGGGAAACAGCATATGGTTAAACTATAGGAGGTGACTTGGTTGAGGCCAAGGGAGGGATCAAGTGTGCTATCAGCCTTGAGTCCTTTCATTCCCACAAGAAATCTAAGTCCAGCCCACCTTGAATTCCACTGACTCTTATATATCGCCAATTTACTTTGATCATTATTAGTTCAGATTCTTGTAGAGAATGTTAACATAAATAAACCTGTATTCATTTGAACCGCTCTGGCTCCTGATTTCTTAGGCAAAATTAGCAAAATAGCAATTTGGTTTCTTGTATGTTATGAACAATATAGCAACACCATGTGGCTGTATTGTTCCCCTTATGAATCACTATCAATAAAAATTGTTGGGTTTAAAAATAATATTAGTTAATATGTGCAAGTTGATATATTAGGACTCAAAACATTTGTATAATAAGGTTTCTCTTGAATAATCAATTGTATGCAACACATTTTTTTCCTGCCTAAAAGAAATATTCAGGTTTTACAAATAATATAAAGTGACTGTAAAAAAAAAAAAAAACCTAATATAAACCCATGCAACAAAACTGTTGCTTACCACTAAAAATGAGCTCTATTTAATCATACCTGCAATCTGACCAATTGCTCCAAGCAGAATGGCTGTTATAATGATCCCGGGATCGAATTAAGCAGCGGTAACCAGAAAAGCGACACAGTTTCTTAGTAATGGTCATGTTGTCTCCATGTTGAAGCAATAATGAATGATCAACTTCAGAAATCTGAGAATAAAATTACAACTTTCATTTAATGCATTGTAAATTCATTTACCAAGCACATAAGCCTAAAAAGCATAGAGTTTCCAGAAAGGATGTCAATTCTAAATTGAGATAGACAAGGATGGAGACGTTGAATTTCATTCAGTTCAATTTTGATTATGTGTGAATCTTACCCTTGTTTTAGGAGTAAAAAAAATGAGAATTATAAATCCCTCCTCGTTCTGTTTTCATGACAAATCTATCAAATCTAGAGCTGCAGTGGTGCAGGGGTTAGAGTGCAGTACTTCAGGTGACTTCTGCTGACTGCCAACTGTCTGCAATTTGGTAGTTTGAATCTGACCAGACTCAAGGTTGATTCAGCTTTCTATCCTTCTGGGGTGGGTAAAATGAGGACCCAGATTGTTGGGGGCCATATGCTGACTCTGTAAACTGCTTAGAGAGGGCTGTAAAGCACTGTGAGGCAGAATAAAAGTCTAAGTGCTATTGCTTTCGGGTTCAGTTGAGAGAATGTGACTGGTAAAACCTAGTGGGTTCTGTGATCACATGAGAATTTGAGCTTAGGTCTCCTTTATCTTAGTTCAATACCTTTATCTGTAGACCTTCTCCCTATAGATGATCTTTCCAGATTTTCATTATGCCCATTAAAATATATGAAAAGTGCTAAAATTGAATTGGCTGAAAATTCATCAGATTAATATCAGGCACTAGAAACTGAATCCTTGACATTTCCCAACCTTCGCTATTCAGAGGTAATGTCTTCTGCTATGGAGCAGATGAAAAAAGATCACTGCCTTCCAAATGTCCCAGATGTATCTGTACAGAAAAGCAACAGGAAGCAACAATCCTAAAAATATGGATTCGTGATTTAATCCAGAAAATTCATTTTTGAATGCTGACATAGGCCATTGTATGCCAAGAAAACTGGACACAAAGACAATTCCCTTGTGCCTTCTGCTGAACACTTTATTCTCATAGTACTGTCTTATGCCTAAGTACGCTTACCCATGTTGTATTGCTGTTATTATTCTCATTTTCTTTACTACTCCCTCTTATAGGTACCATTATTACGATTATTGCTTTGTGTGCGCACTGAAAGTTTTTGCACTAGAGAAGGTGTGTCTAATAACACTGTGTGTCTTGTGTGTCTAATACCACCAGGCCAATAAAGTATTCTAATTTTTTTTTAGAAATTGTATTTGAAACGCATAAACAGAACAAGACATAGATTGAAACAACAAAGGAACAAAAAAATATCTATCACAGTAATCAAAAGAATTCTATTTCTATTAATTCACCAAAAATACATGCGATAAAACAGAGATAGACAACTTGATACTTGTCACAGATTTTGAGTTACTTCAGCCAATTTGATTAAAATCCAATATTGCAGAGATTTTTATCCAAACTTATATTGGATAGCAGACCTGCCTACACCAGATTGTCTGCTTCTATCTTACTTCCTATTCTCATTATTATCATAGTTCTGCAGCTGTGCATCTTAAAATATCTTCAAAGAAAGTACATGTGCTTAAAAAAATTACCTCTTCATTATTGTTGAAAACGATTTTGATCTGGTAAGTAAGCCCAAAATAAGAAACTGGGGTGCTCCAGGTTGTAGGATGTAACAAAATCAATTTGCCAGTTCTGGTAACATGGCACGGAGAAATATCCGGCTTTACTGCATAAAACAAGTAAATGAATATTATACGTAACTGTATCTATTTTAGTTAGACTTTTAAATTATTACATACTATTAACGCTTGTCATTTTTAATGAGGTCAAGAAGGATCACATTTATTTTAAGGCCGCAATATGATTGCATATTAGCTGCTTGCTCTTTTATTATGGGAGAAAACTGGCAGGAACCAATTCAATATATTTGAATATTTCAGAATAAGAAAGGTGATAGTCAAAGAAGGGTGACCACATGAAAGTTCTTCTTGAGCCAATATACTGTATATGTTTCCTTGAAGCCTACAGTATAGTTTTTGTATGAAAATCTGGGTTGACTATATCAGAATTAACACATTTGTGGACCTCTAAATATTCTAGACTACAATTCCCAGAAGCACCAATCAGCATGGCTAATGATCAGATTAAGGGAGTTAGAGTCCAGTACATTCAGAGCAGTGGTGGGATTCAAATAATGTAACAACCGGTTCTCTGCCCTAATGATTTCTCCCAACAACCAGTTCACCAAACTGCTTAGAAAGTTACCAACTTGTTCTCCCAAAGTGGTGCAAACTGGCTGAATCCCATCACTGACTCAGAGGGAGCTCACCCAGATTACATACATGTATTTAAAAATTTATTCACTTTGATCATCGTAAATGGTGTCAAATTTCTGCGAAAATTAGCCAGATGATCTGTGTGCTCACCTTGGCATGTAGTAAAAAGATTAAGCAGGTCTGGTTATTAGCTGATTTACCTGATTAGTACCTGATACTCCTACTAATTGGAATTACCTTGGCTAGAAAAAGGAAAGCAGTAGCAACTTCCAGACAGTTGTCAAGCGTGACCCAACAAATGCGTGCCCGACAAATGCGCGCCGACGAAACTGCAGCGACAAAATCGCAACCTCAAAAGCACACCCACTAAAGCGTGCCGACAAAACCGTGCCCACAAAAGCGCGATTAGGGTTATTGGGTTAGGATTAGGGTTAGGGTTAGGGTAAGGGTAAGGGTTAGGGTAAGGGTTAGGGTAAGGGTTGTTAACATTGTTTTCGCGTTGTTTTCATTTTGTTTCTGATGGCGCGCTTTTGTTGGCGCACATTTGTAGAGTGCTTTAGTGGGTGTGCTTTCGACATCACGGTTTTTGTCGGTGTGGTTTTGGCAGCGCGCATTTGCCAGGCGCGCATTTGTCGGTGAACCGTTGTCAAGAAGCTATTTGAAACTCAACTTGACTTGGATTTGAACTATGCGGAAAATCAAAGACATTGTAAGCCTGATGGGCAGGATGGTTTTCAAATGTAAACATGACCCCTGAAATGAGATTACTATTAAACAATCCTGATTTGGATAAGTGCATTGTTTATTCTTGTCCCACAAATTGTTTTGATTTCAAAAAAAGCCATTCACATATTTTTATTGGGAAATGACACCTTCTTTTCTCTCAGAAAGGCTCACAAATAAGCTTATGTTGTCCTCTGCTGTCCATATTATATATTGCAGCCAAAAGGAGAAATTATTTTTGTAGATGGAAATTGGGTTTGTATGTTTTTTTGTTCTCTCAGCCTGTTGAATTGACAAAATGAAGTATTTTACATGACTTACAGATGTCCTTGATAAAGAAACTTCTGGTATGTTTTTCATAGACAAATACATCCGTCAAAAAAACATGAAGAGACACTGCAATTAGTCCATACTCCTCGGTATATGAACAGGGATTTTCTCTTCTGCAGGAAGCCGAATATTCTGTGTTTGTTTTGTCAGACTTAATGTCACAAATAATTGTTCGTGATGCAGACCTGCATTTAAAACCAAGATCCAATTTAGCCAGGATTTCTACCTCTTTTTTAAACTAATTATCAAATTTAAAACATCAGCAATGAAGATAAATAAATATAGACTTCAGAAAATAAGTTCTAGAAGGTTGCCCTTGTATAATGGTTAGTATTGTTAGTTACACTGAATTCTCTCATGGTAACGGAAAATTTAATAGCTCTATCCCATAATTAGTTTTCATGGATTAGATAATTTTACCAGTAGATAAAGACTACACATTGTAATAATCATGAACATTCACTTTGCTCTAGCTTAGACAATATGACAAGCCCAATGCTATCAGCCATTATCTTATTGGCTCATTCATCTCTTAAAGAATATTTCATACACAATGCTTCACTATGTATTCTACTTCATTAACAAATTTGATTTTATTGAGTTTAATTGACATCATTCTAAAGCACATAAGCAATCATTCCTAATTCTACTGAAGTTTCAAAAGAATGGTAATTGTACTATGACATCGCTGCTCCCTCTTTCTTGCACTGCAATATCACATGAAAGTGCTTAAGAGACAGAGTTTATGTCACAGTTCAGGCATCATCACTTGTCCCTTTTTCACAAACAGCTTTCTGATCAGGGTATTTGGAAGATGCAGATAATCCATGCATCCTTCCCTGATTCTTGACCTTCCTTTTAACCTGCATATAACAATTATATGCTCAATATAATAATATATTAAATGACTTACTTATTTTGATTTTCATCTTCATATTCAATCCGAAATTTCAGGTTTGGATTTGGACTCTGCACTTTCCAAAAGCATGTGAAGTTCCCTGAATAATTATTTGCTTCACAGTAGAAATAGACCTTTTTCTCTGGATCTAGAGGGCAAAAATAAAATGGCCTTAAAGTACAGCATGTTTTAGAGCATGCTAGTGATTATTTTTAATTTATGATTTAATGCAGGGTATTTTCAGGGCATTGAAAGCATCAAGATGAATAAAACAATGTGAGAAATTATTTTGCAAATATACACAAGTAGATTATATTATGGTACAAGGTACATAATAATTCTGATCCACAAAAAAAATTTCAAGTTTGTTTCTGAATGTTCATGCTATTCTCTCTTTCCAATCATTTGAATTCTATGTTATTAATATTAGTTAATTAAATGTATATACTTTTTCCCACTATCTCTGCAAAGACAGGAAGAGGTCTGGCCACACCTTATTCTTGTTGGTGATAATTTTTCTTCTTTATCTATAGTGGAAATATTATTAGTAGTCCAAACAATATTCCAAAATACATTCTTGATTAGAAAAACCCTTCCCATTCCCATCCTTAATTCTATTCCCTTTCCACAAGCAGGTAAAGAAACATAAATAACCTTGCTGTTTGTGCATTGAGAAATAAGTTGTGTTTGTCCATGTGAAGGAAACATTGGGGAACATAATTATTTTCATTCTCTTCCTTCAGGGAAGAAAAACTGTTTCTGTCTTTCCAGAAAGGAATTGGTTGTTGTTGTTGTTGTTGTTGTTGTTGTTGTTGTTGTTGTTATTATTATTATTATTATTATGTTAATCTTTGGTGAGATTCATAGCCTTTGGGGCTGGTTGGTAGCTCAACAGTTCGAGTCCTAACCAAGGACCTAGGAACTGTTAAGGTAACGTCGGAGGATATAAGCTGTTCCAAGTATGGTGTTTTTTTGTAGAGTCAGAATGTTCAAGTCTGATAAATTTAAAATTTCCAAATAGCGAGGTAGCCCTTTGGGTATTGCTCCAAGGGCTCCAATTACAATCGGGACAACACATGATTTGTTTTTCCACAGTTGCTCAACTTCAATTTGAAAGTTCCGGTACTTTGTGATTTTTTTTTCTTGCTGTTTATCTTCAATTCGTGCGTTTCCAGGTATTGCAATGTCAATGAACCATACTTTTTTTCTTTTCAACTATTGTTATGTCAGGTGTGTTGTGGGCCAAGTTCCTGTCAATCTGAAATCTGAAGTCCCACAAGATCTTGACTTTCTCATTCTCAAAAACCTTCTCAACCTGATGTTCCCAGTGGTTTTTGCTGTCCTCAAATCCAAACTTTTGGCACAATTTCCAGTGAATGAACTTAGCAATGCGGTCATGGCGTTGTAGATAGTCAGTTTGTGAAATTTTGCTGCACCCACTGATCAAGTGGTCGACGGTCTCGTCTTTCTCATTACAGAGGTGACATTTGCTGTTGGTGGTAACATGTTGAATTTTTGCCTTCATATAGTTTGTGGCTAAGGCTTGTTCTTGAGCTGCCAGAATAAAGCCTTCTGTTTCTTTTTTCAGTGCTCCTGATCTTAACCAGTTCCAAGTTAGCTTTTGATCAGCTTTGCCTTCAACACTACTACTGCTGCTGCTGCTGCTGCTGCTGCTTCTGCTGCTGCTACTACTACTACTACTACTACTACTACTACTACTACTACTACTACTACTACTACTATTACTACTACTACTGAAAGACAGAGACAGAGGGAGGGAGGGAGGGAGGGAGGGATGGAAAGATTGACAAAAGGACATGGGCATTTAGGACTAGGCTTTCTGTCTCTAAAGTTCTGCCCATGATACATTGCATCCAATTCTTGATTGCATCGCATATTTAGGATTCTTGTGCTAACAAATCCTAGTGTCAAGAGTCTGTGTATAATGGATTACTATTGGATAATTTAGGGGTTCTACAAGGTATATAGAGCATTTGCTTCCTTAGCTAACACTGTTGGATTAAATATAGTTTTGCGGGTCTCAATTCTCATGCTGAAACTGTTTCCTAACTTTCTCACAGCTTGATGACAGCTATCAAGTCCATATAACTATTCCTAAACATCTTAATTTGGGGGATAGCCACATGGCAGGTTATTGTAAGTATGGATCATTGATCAGATCTGTTGGGCAAGAGCAGACAATAACACTTACTACTTGTCCTCAATTTATACTGCCATTATTTTTTCAATAGGTTGACCAATCAAATACTAGAATGTTTCTTTTATAACATGCTGGGCTATTTAGGAGCCAGAATAATACCCTTTTTCCTTATAAATAATAGCAAAACTGATAAAATGATATACTTGGGGGGAAAAAAGAAAAAGCATTAAAGTAGTTGACTGTGGGAAAGAAAAAAACCTTTAAAAATATAATCCCCAGGTTTTGCATGATTGGTTTTGTTTTTGTTTTTTGCACGTCAGGCAAATGTTATTATTGGAACATCATTGGTAATAACAACTGAAGCATTGATTTTGGAGCCCAACAGGGAAAATGTAAAAAAGGAACATTTACTTTAAACTTGATCATTGTACTGCATATTGATGTTTTAACTTTGTTAAAGTTGTATTGCATTTTTCAAATCTAATATGAATGGATGCATGTCTAGTGAGAGAAAAAGAAATGGCATAACTGCTGTGGAATTGTCTATCATCTTGATCTAGACAGAATTTTCTTAAAATGGTTTCATTTATATCAATCAGTGTGAGAATTGGACAGGATCACCTTAAGAATGTAGTATGGAAGTACCCTTGGTCAAGTAAGTGGGTTAGAGTGTTGTAATCTCGTTCCACTGTAATCATTGGATCCCTTCATTTTGAAATTTAGCTCTCACAACTTATTCACAACTGTAGAAATAGGAAATCTATCAGATTGTTTGATGGAATCTGAAAAATTCCTGAACACTTTTAGGGAATTTCTGGGTAACATTTTGGGTTTTTCTGCTAAATCACTTCAAAACTCTGAAAAACTTGAAACTGCTGGACTAACTTTCACTGACAGGATCTCTAAACTGAGAAAGAACTGTGAGAAGCACTCCACAATACCAATACCCCAAAATACCTTCAGGGGTCTCGGCACAGAAACAATTTATAGGAAAGTAACAGAAGCTAAAGAGAAATGGTTAACCTATTGAGAGTTATTTGAACAAGAACATTGAGAATTTTTTGAACAAGAACATGGAGAATATAAGATGAAATCAAGAGAACAATTGGTTGCATAGGGATTTAGTTTTTTACTACTTTTTGTATGCATAGCTAAGAGAAAGGTTCAAGATAGATAACAGCACATTTGAAACTGAGTATCAAAAGACAGAATTTGAAACTGAATTATGTACAAATGACAAGCAAGTAATTGCCAAAAGTTTTGCTAAAATTTAAAATTGCAGATGAACAAGTGAAAAATGTATGGTAAAATGGCTAAGAATTTTGAATATAAAATATTGTTGGAATAGTAGGGAAATGTATATTATGCTATAATTTAAATGAGAACATTTGTATTACTTTTATCTTCTTAAAATTCTTCAATAAAGTTATATTTTAAAAAGAAGAAACAGTACACAGTATTGATACTGCTCCCAATCTTACCTTTCTTGAGGATTGGTTCATCTATTTCTCCTTTTTCATTCTTCTTTGTAATGTAAACAGCATTGGAACTTAGAAGCTCCTGTGTAGTGTTACTCCAACAGGTATAATTGCCAGCATCCGGAGTCCCTCTAACTCTTATCTTCAAAGTCCTGCCATTTCCTACCCATTTCAGGTTTTTCTTCCAATAAACCGATCCATGCTGACTTTCAGATGTGTCGCAGATGAGTGTCAGGTTTTTGGGAAGTGCTGAATTATCTGAAGACCACTGGGATTCTACAAAGTGCTCTGAACATTGTAAAATCATTAAGTTGTAAAACTCTAAAAGGTAGGCAGTGATCAAGCAACTGGTTCATCTAGAACCCAGTGCATGTACCTTGAAAATGCTAACACGTTCTTACATTACATCACTTAGTTTTAAAAAGTAAAGATTATACCACATGCAAATCAAAACAGTGCTTGTCCTTAAGCAGATATCATAGTGAACCCGTGAACAACAGCTTCAGAATAATCTAATAAGGTGTGCAGTTTGGGTAAGGCTCTGTTTCTACCTCTGACCTGCAAGAAAACCTGGCATGGATGCAAATTAATATTTAATGTCTCCATTTCGGAGGTTCATCTAGCAGAAGAAAGTACATCTAACGGGCCCAAGAAGAAGCTTGGCTGCGGTGGCTCCATCCCTGAAGAACAGAAATAAGATTGCTCCCCAATTTGACACTCTTTCACAAGACCCTGAAGACCTGGTTTTGCCAATGGGCCTGGGGAGTCCAGAGTGGGATGGAACTCATCAAGTGACTTATTTGATTGATTGTTCTCATCAGAGAATTGGGGGGGTTATTGCTTTTTTAAAAAATAATAAGTTTTTATCTTTGTAAACCACCCAGAGTCACTGAAAGTGAGTTGGGTGGCCGTATACATTTTCTTAAATATGTAAATAAATAGTGAACTCCCATGTACATCTGTTATGTGATAACATTTTTCTTTTGATTTTGGTACAGAGTTACAAATAGCTGGCAGCATAAACATTGTATACGTGACCATTTAGTACACCATAGTTTCATTTCTATCTCGAACCCTTGTGGAACAGAATATTCTATTCAACATTTACAATATTCCTACAAGGAATGCTTGTAGTTACTCATTGTCAAATCAATTACTGCCATAGACTTACAGATGGTCTTCAACTTATGACCGGAATTGGGACCATAATTTATGTTGCGAAGCAAGGTAGTTATTAAGTAAGTCACACCTGATATTACAACTGTTTTTACTACGCTAGGTAAACAAATCACTGCAGTTAAGTGGATCACACAGTTGTTAACCAAAGCCAGCTTCTTGCATTTATTTTGTTTGTTAGAAGTCAGCTGGGAAGGTCAGAAATAGTGATCACATGACCCAGGGCACCGCAACTAGTGGTGCAGTTCAGCTGGTTCTATCTGGTTTGGGTGGACCAGTAGTGGTGGGGGCGGGACGTTCTACCTATCCACCTAGACATCGTAATGTCCCGTTTTTGTAGTAGCAAAGGTAAGTTGATTTCACCCTTGACCATAACCCCTGCAAATACATGCCCATTGCCAAATGCTCAATTTTTGATCATGTGACCATAGGGATGCTGCACAATTCTTAAGTGCTAGGACAGGCTGTAAGTTTTTTCAGCGCTATTTTAACTCTGAACTGTTACTAAATAAACAGTTGTAAGTTGAGGACTACCTGTATTCCATGTGTGGTAGTTGCCAATATTTATTAAGGGAGAGAAAAAATGAGGTATGCTTTTTTTTTATTTTGCTTTTTTGCCTTGGCCTAACCTGATCAACAAACTAAGACTATCCTGGAAATCACTGCTGTTTAAAAAACAGCATAACTTCCTCTACATTTCTATTGTTAAGGAGCAAGGAGAAGTCAACCACATCTTCTTCCATTTCTTTCTCTTTATTTATTGCAGGAAGATATACCAAACACAACTATTCTGGAAAGTTAACTATTTCCCTTGCACTTGTGACATGTTCTTGCAATAACATTTAATAGAAAAAGTATTTGATTTTTCAGAAGTGCAGGCAATGAGAAATCTTTAGACTATACTGGGATGCAGTTTGGGTTTGGATACCGAAACTCCTGAATCTTTAATTAATTATTGAATTCTTCTTTAACATAAGAGAGAAACTGTTTTATTGCAAAGTTTGAGCAGACATGAACATCATGACTTTAAATCAATTGTTCCACAATGATTATTTTGACTTTTTCCCAGCTTCAGATTGAACTTGGTGTTCTGAAGACCTGGCTCTTCCACTAGAATGGGACAGAGTAAAGTCAGGGGAAATGTGGTTGAGGCATTTGTGTTTTTAATTTATTGTTGCTGGTTTTATCCCTATATATTTTTATTGGTTCTAAGCTATGCTGAGTTGGTTTTAAAATGGGCAGCTATATAAATGTTATTACTACATATATATCTTTTCAAAAGAGGTATATTGATATAAGCAATATCATCATTTGGAACGATTGGCCTCTCCCTGTGATGCCTAGGATGATTGTACTCAGTTCGTTTTGCTAAGGATTTTAAGGTTTATAAAGTGTTTCATGGTAAAGATGTATTGAAAATAAATCTTTGGGATTGCATTTGAAGTGTTCTAAGGCCTGCATAGCAAAACCATACATAGAGTTAATTTGATGCAGTATGTTTTGGTGAAGAAGATATTATTCAAGTCTATTCTTAATAATAGAAGCTTACTAGGTCAGTTTCATGAAAAACTATCTGGATTGTTGTGGAGAAAAATTAGAGGAAGTGTACTGTGTATGCAGGGGTGGGATTGAAAAATGCCCGGTTGCTGGGTAGGCGTGGCCTACTCTGCCTCCTGCACCACAGGGGGGTGGCATTTTCACTCTCCCCAGGCTCCGGAAGCTTTTCTTGAGCTTCCAGGAGTACAAAAATGGTTACTCCTGGGCTCCAGAGGCCCTCCAGAGGTGGAAATGATCCTGTTTGTAGTCTTCCGGGAGGCCCATTTTTCATCCTTCCGGAGCCTCCATGTGAGCCCTGCACTTACCTGACATGATGAACGGGCCACATGGAGACTCCTGGGAGGGATGGGGCAGAGTGGGTGGAGCCAGCCAGTCCTTGCAACAACCAGTTTGGTGAACTGGATGCAAAATTAGCGTCCGGTTCACCTGAACTGCAAACCGGCTGAATCCCACTCCTGTCTGTATGTCATTTTAAGTTCCTGGATGTAAAATGGAGTCTTATCAAGTAATTAACACATTGCAATTTACTACAAAATTTCATTCCAAAACTCAGTGACATACCACTTGCTCTTATTTCTTGTGTTGCTTCTCTGTGAGCAACCAAAGTCAGTGTAATCATCAGGATAAATATGATGAATGTCATCTGTAAGGAAAAATAAATAAATAAAAGTAAAGATTAAAAAGAGAAACTCTATATATGATTGCACCAATCATTATTTGAGAGGCTTGCATATTTATAAATGAAGGGTCAAGATATTTCATGGATTTATTTACATTGTGAACTATCTTCCTCTATATCTTATGCATTGACATCTTATCTGCAATGCATTTTCTTGATACTGGCAGCAATCTTTAATAAAATAATCCCATTTACAATCATGGCATAAAGCTATCAGAGCCTTAAATCCTACTATCCAACCTATAGAATATGTTAGTTGCTAAAAGCAAGGGCTAAAATATTTAATGGAAACTATAGAGTTGCACCAAGCAAGTTAGACTGAAAATAAAATAGAGTATCAGGGTACTCAGATACCAGTGATGTGCGGTGAGGTTTATGGCTGGTGAGGCAACAATTTTTTTAGACTTGTGGACTTCAACTCCCAGAATTCCACAGCCAGGCATGCTTTGTTCCGATTTAAAGCGACAGCATTTGTTTTTCTCCTTTGCTAAATAAGTTTCCTTCTTTCTTTTTCTTTTTTTTCTCTCCTCCCTCCCTTCCTCCCTCTCTCCCTCCCTCCCCCGCTCTCAAACACACACACACACAGAAATTGGAGTGGACTACCTCTCCTATCCCCTTGCCCCTCTCATTCAAACAAACTCTCTCTCAAAGAAGCGCGCGCGCGCACACACACACACACACACACAAGTTGGATTGGAGGGAGTCAGGAAGCCAGTCAAAGAGCCCTATTGGAGCACACACACACTTTCCCCCAGCCCCGGAAGGATCCAGCCCAGCTTCACTGATTACAGGTTTGAAAAGACAACGTGGCTCTGCCTGCAATC